GCATTGACACCAGGAGGGAGGCCAGGCCGAGAATAAAATAGATACAGAGAGCATTGCAGGGGTAAGAACCCCACAAAAAACAGCACCTCAATCCAACTATGCATGGAACTTACTCTACCACTTCATTTTTTTCAAACATGCAATGCAATGTTTGACCTTTATTGGGTCAGGCATCTTCGGTTGGGTTTTCTTCTACTTGCATCTGAAAGCATCATATGCAGTATACCTGTTGTATTTATCTAATAGTCTCCATTGAAAAATCCACCTATAGAAAAATTTTAGAAAAATAAATCCTTGCAGAGGGATAAACTCTACCCAAAAGAAGCATTTAATGTTTTTTTAGTGCCTACTGTTATTTAGGGGACTTTTTTTTCCTCTCCTCCTGCTTGCCTTATGAAAAGAATTGCTAAGTGAGGAGCACAGATGACTTGTTCTGATTTTTGTCCTCCTAATTACTCACCATCTCCAGGCCTTTCCATGCAACCAGACACTAATCTTGAGCTTATTTTTAAATCTCTTAGTGTACCACTAACCTTTCAGGCATTTCCCAGAAAACATCATCTCAAAGATTCAGTGGCCTAACTCACTAGCCATCATTGACGTTCTAGACCCAGAATCAGCAACCATTTGGGAAATCCAACTGTGTATTCACTGCTTAGTGAGGAGGAGCTGTTAGGATCCACAGTGGGGAAGGAAAGAAGAGGAATCAATGGAAATGGTATATTCAGTGGAAACTGATTACACTTGGGGGATATGTAATAAAACATCCCTAGTGTCCTCAGCTATTTTGAGCGATGGACACTGGTTTCTTAGCTGGAATGGTTAATACTTAGTCCAATTATTTCTGATCTAAATCTTGGAGTCTGGTTCGCATGAACATAAAAATATTTCTAATGAGAGTTGTTAAATGGGTGAAGAGTTTTAGTTTTGCAAAATGAAAGCAGCTCTGGATGTTTTACACAACAATACAACCAATATTTAATAATGCTGCACCATAAACTTAAAAATTATTTAGATGGTACATTTTATGTTATTTATATATTAGGACTATATATATTCATATGTAGATATAGATATTACTGAAAGGGGAGGGGAATTAAATTTTATTGTTGCCCAGTAAGGTTTATACTTTAGATAATAATAATATCTAACACATATAGTAGTTAGAATGTGCCAGTTACCATTTCTTTAATGCTTTTCACTTAATTTACTCCTTATAACAATCCTGGGGGAGGTATGTTAATTATTATTACTCTTATATTTTCAATTTACTGATAAGGTAGCAGAGACATGGAGAGGTTTGTTGTTGTTGTTTTTGGAGACAGAGTCTCATTCTGTCACCCAGGCTGGAGTGCACTATGTGATCTCAGCTCACTGCAACCTCCGCCTCATGGAGAGCTTTTGAAACTAGCTCAGAGTCATCTGGGCTGAGCTGAGATACAAGCTTATTCAATTTTGCCCCCCAATTCATACTCTTCCCAAGCAGCTCTGCATCCTCCCTCTAGTTTATGATCAGGAACCATTACACCCATTTTACAGAAGGAGAAACTGAAGCTCAGAGTTTAAAAAGTGGTCTGAGATTATGAAACTAGCAATTACAGAGTCCACACACATATTTGGAAAGTATAGAGTCCAGACAAATATTTAGCCTCTCTAGTTCCAATGCCTTAGTCAAGGGTGCAATCCAGAGAATGTTCTAAGGCAAGAATCTCAAACATCTTAAAAATTACTGAGGATGCTAAAGGTTGTTTGCATGATTATATCTGTTTATACTTATGGAATGGATTAGTGCTGTTCAATAGAAGTTTCTATGAGAATAGAAGTATTCTGTATCTGCACTGTCCAATAGGACAGCCACTAGAACAACTGAACAATTGAACAATGAACAATTGAACACATGAATAATTGAACAATTGAAATGTGGCTGGTGTGGCTGAGGAAATAACATTTTCATTTTGTTTCATATTAATTAACTTACATGTGACTAGCCAGATAAGATAGGCATAGCTATAAAACCAAAATACATTTTTAATTTGAGATGGAGTCTCTCTCTTGTGGCCCAGGCTAGAGTGAAATGGCATGATCTCTGCTCACTGCAACCTCCTCCGCCTCCAGTGCTCAAGTGATTCTCCTGCCTCAGCCTCCCGAGTAGCTGAGATTACAGGCACCAGCCACTACACCTGGCTTTTTTTTAATTATTATTATTTTTAGCAGAGATGGGGTTTTACCATGTTGGCCAGGCTGGTCTCAAACTCCTGACCTCAGGTGATCCACCTGCCTCAGCCTCCCAAAGTGCTGGGATTACAGGCGTGAGCCAGTATGCTGGGCCCCAAAACACATTATTAAAATACATTTTTATTGTGGTGAAATATAAAACCAAAACATTTGTAAAACACTACAATATGCACACACGTTCCCTAAGCCACCAGAGCCCTGACATCACCACGCTGAATGTGGCCTCTGGGACACTCCCTTGCATATTTGTGAAAAAGTAAATAACCTTTCATTATGAAAATAGTTTTGACTTCGGGGACCCTCTGAAAGGATCCTTAAGGACCCAGGACCACACTTTGAGTCCAGGACTGAAGGGGAGCTCTGCTCCTCCATACTCAGGAAGGACAACTGGTCACCCTGTTCTGGGACTGCTGCCTTCCGCTTTGAGGATCTTTTCCCTTTCCCCGCCCCACCTCTGCCCTCGCCCTGGTAGTTTGTAGTCTTGTTAACAGACCCAAGGCCTTTGACGTGCTGGAGCCAGAAGGAGGCCAGGGACCCACTCTCCAGCTCAGCGGACCTGAGGGAAGAAGAGCAGCCATCGGGGCTCGGCTTTTGCGGGAAAAATCTCCCTCTGAGGTTCCAAGCCTCCAAGGCAGGCAGATCAAACCAAAAAGTAGAAAGAAACGTGCAAAGTGAAATTCAAGATGCTGAAAAAGATGGAAAGGCCTCTTCTCCCTGGAGTCTCCTGCTTCTCCCCTCCTTCCGGCAAGCAGGAAAGAGGAGGCCATCAGAGGGGGAGAAGAGAGGGCTTCGCAGGGTCTTCTGGGGCAACTCAATCAAAGAAATTATTTTCCCACAGACGAAGCCAAGAATATCTTAATGGCTCTTTCCTGATTGAGGGATAAATCTTCTATTAATTTATGGCTGGGCCCCAAAGCAGTTGTGTCAACTCCACCGCCCTCTATAACAATGTGAGAAATGCTTCAGAATTCCACTTATTTTGATGATTTCCATCTTCCCGTTTTTATTTCTCTTCTTTTTTCACTCAGTACTCTCATAGTTCATCCATCCTGATCTTTTCATCCTATCTCTTCTCCTATTTTCAAATCAATCGCCAACTCATCAATGCCACGTCCCTACCCCAGGGAAAAATCTCCGGACGTACCCAATAAGAAGGGCTAAAGCCTTCTGAAGTGCAACTCCCCTGCAGCCCCGTGCAGAGTAAGGACCACGAGAAGAGCTGGATGGCGTCGGGGAGAAACTGCACCCGCTCTAGCCCAGCACCGCCTGCCCCTGCAGCCCTGTGCACCCGGCAGCGCGCGTCTCAACCAAACAAGCCTCGGTTGCCGCAGAGCGTCTGGGTGCAAAGACCCGGCAGAGACAGTAAATCAAAAGACAGCAGAGGGCGAGAAGCCGGTATCACAGTGACTCGGGGTCACTACTGCCCAGCGCAAGTATGACGCCCTGGGGGTCATTGCTAAACGGCCTGTGTTTATGGGCTTGGCTAGCCGCTCCCGGTGCCAGAGCAGGGGCACGCGCCCCCTCGGGAGAAGGTCTGCGAGTGGGTAAACCGACCCGGGGTTCTGTGGGAATTCTGCCCACTCTCGCCTGCGGGACTCTTGAGGCTAGAGACAGTGTGATACAGATGATTTAGATAATCTAGGCCGTGCAGAGAAAATGTGAGTTACTCCCAAATCTACTTGCTAACTGCATGTCCTTAGACAAGTTAATTTAAACCTCTTACCACAGTTTACTTATCTGTAACATGGGGATAACGTAAGTAATGACCAAAATAGAATTTGGTAAAAGACAAATGAGCTAATACATATAAAGGTTTTAAAAAACAGTGCCTAGCACATGAGCACAACGGTTTACTAAGTACAGATTGAAAAGTCGTGCCTGGAGTTAAAAATTAAGCTGCTACACAGTTATTGACACCTGTTCTTGTGACAATGTGAGTAAAGGGGCCTAGGTAGTGCTGACCACCGAGCTTAACTCCCAGCTCCTTTGTGTCGGTGTAGCCCAGCCTAGGAAAACAGTGTGGACATGCTTCGTGCTAGGAGCTAGACTTCTGGTCTCCACCCGAAATGGGCCTCCGGCCTCCAGACTGACTCCTGGGCCATCTTCCTGCTTTCCCTGGCACTGAAGGCCCAAGGGGTTCTCTCATTTGCCCAGCTTTTTAACGGGCCCTTTATCTGCTGCAGACCGCCTCGACGAAACGGAATCAAATCTGGTCCCCAAGGACCAAGGCCGGAGTCTAGGTCCCGATGTAAGCCCGGTAGGCGACCAGTAGGAAGCGGCGCGGTTCGGACACCCAGAGCCGGCGACTTGTCTGCACTTCAGGCCACACGGCGCATCGCTGGATCTGGAATCCCACCTTGCATCGACCTCGCGGGATTCCAAACAGCCAACAGAAACAATCCCCTCACCCCACCACACCCGGGAAGGTGGCGGGACCCAGGCTTCCGAGCAAGGTCCCAGGATTGTCCGTCAGGGTGCGGACGGCACGGCCTGCACCCACCTCTCACCCGGACTTTCTTTTACAGCCGCGCCAACCAAGGAAAGGTTTATGACCAAAGTGCGGCAGCACAGAGTCGGGTGGGTACCATACATGGCCGTGGCGCCTGCGGCCCCAGCTCGCGGCCTTGGGCTCCCTCTCAGGGCCCCATCCTTCTGGTGCGCGGGGCTCTGGAGCCAGAAAGTGTACACAGACCATAAATTTCCCGCCCCGCTCGGCGCAGCTCTGAGGTCAGGGGCTGCCCGCCTCCAACCGCCTCTGCGCGCCTGCCCCTTAACTTGCGTCCGGGTAACTGTGGCCGCAGCAAAACGCAGCTGGTGCCCTCTGCAGCGCCTAGCCAGACTTCAAGGACACCTCCTCGCTGCTGCTAGAGCACCCTAGCAGCGTTGGGACTCTGGGCACAGTCTGCGGGAGGCTCCCCACCGCTGCCCAGAAGGCGGATGTTGGGGAATCAAGGAAAGCGGGAAGAAGGCGAGGCCTGGGGGAGGCCAGGTGAGAATGGAAAGAGAAAGGGATAACTAGGAGCAAGGAAGAGGAAGCTTCTGTGGCTTCTAGACCCATTTGTGTCTTTCTATCCTGAGGTTTGGGATGACGGGTACACAGCAAGTGCACGTGGCGACCGATGTTCGTTTAAAGATGTTTTTGCACTGGGCCCTCTCTTCCTTCAGTTGTGAATCTTGCCTACCGTGCCGAGCCTACCATACAGGGCTTACCATGAATGCGCTTTCCCTGGTCATGCAGCTAGCTGACTTTTAGTAGATTTCTCTATGGTTGCGTCTACACTCACATTGTAAAGCGAATATTTGAAATGATGATCAGAATAATTCGTTAAAAATAACAAATCATTTCTTTGAACTTTTTTTCTCCTTGACTATAGAGAATTGTCGCAGACGGCTAGTTCGGAGGTTAGAATAAGAAACGCGGATTTCTGTCGGAGGCTCCGCCACGCCCCTTACCCACCAAGTACCTTGATGAGATTACCCAATCCCTCTGCTTCGCAAAATGGCCTTCTATAAGTGAGGAAGAATAATGTCTTCTGACCTAAGTCGCTGTGATGGTCATATGAGATACAAAACTTTCACCTCTTGTTCAAAGAGTGGCAAAGACTCGAATCTTTTTCCTCCATTCTTTACTTACACACACCCATAGGTGATTTCAAACGAGTACAGACGCTCTCTCCAGCCAGAATGAACTAGCAGTGTCATCGTGGAAATGGTTTAATAAAAATTTTCACTTATTGAGTGCTTTCTGTTTGCCAGAACTCTGTCTGTGACTGTGCCTGGTATCACATATGCACCCTTAACCTAAAAACTGCCTCCGGTTTGCTGAGTGAACTGAGGAGAAGAAAATGGGAAGGCATAATTGGAGAGCTGGAGAGGACACAGGGAGGAGGGATGGGTCTCCTCACCACCATTCCTCCGCAGTGAGGAAAGCAAAAGAGAAGTAACAGGCAAGAGGTGGGAAAGAAAGTTTCCCATCGGTAAAACTTTTAGCTTGGAGGGTGTGCCTCAGAGCGCCTTCAGATATTTCCAGCTGGAGAAACTTGACAGTCCCTAGCCCAGAACCAGCCCAGAATGTAGTAGAGACTAAAATAATGTGCACATGTGTAGATGAGTAACATACAGGCTGTGAGTGGCCCTTCTATCCCCAGCATGTCGCCCTTGGCTCTGAGCAATGCTTTTGAGGAGGATGGGACTTTTGTGGGCTTTTTAAAAAAATTATGCAGATCTATTCTAAATTTTATAAATCACTACCTTTCGTTACATTTTGGCTAATACGCTGTCCTCCATCACCTCTGGAGCTGCCTGGGCTCCCTGTCATCCCTTGTCTCAGGTCACACACTCTGTCCTCCTTGTCCTCCACGATGCTCATCCGGAACCAAGCCAGGAGAGTCCAGTTCCCCTTAAAATTCTGAACGGATTCTTGAACAGTACCAAGAGGAAAGGAAGGCCAGGGCACAATGAGCAGAGAGGAAAAAACGAAAAGAGAAACGGTGAGGACATGTAACGCCAGGGAGCGTGAAGACCAATGCACATGGGAAAACTCAAATTGCAGGTCACACTCCATTTAAAAATTGTGTGTCACAGAGAAAGTCTTTAGTTTGATTCTTTCTTTATAGTTTTGACCCCCTTTTTTCAGCAGCAAAACTGTGCTCTTGGCCTAGAAGAGTAGTTAGCACAGGCTACAAGGACCTGAGGGAGGTAAGGAAAACGGGACATGGCTTGGATCTCTGCCGGTGACCCAAAGTGGCCCCAAAGAGATGTCACCTGGGCGTTCCGGACCAGCAACCGATTGGCAAAAAGATAAGCTTGGGGGAGGTCGGAGCCAGGGGGCCCGCGCTGACAGTGGACTGCATGAATGTTCAGCTGGCAGATTGGGGATCCAACCTGCGGAAAACCCAGGACCTCTGCTAAGATCTCTGCTAGACCCAAAGCCATTGCGAATGGGGCGAGACCCTGTGATTCCCGAAGGTAGGACACTTTGGAGCGAGATCTGCGCCCTGGACCAGGAGAGCCCGGCTGCGTGGAGTCTCAGGAACACGTCTTTGGAGGGCGTGCGCAGCCCGAGATTCGCCACGTAGTGAAATTCAGAAATGGCCGCATTGCTCTGACGGGTGCAAGTCGGGACTGCCAGATAGAGGATCCTACTCCCTCATTAGTTCATTCTTTTGATTTTTCGTTCACTTGCTCATTTCTTGAGCTTCTACCACTTGCTGGGTGCACTCCTCACCCGGATTCTGAGAAACAAAACAAACAGCCCTGACATATTAAAACGAGGCTGAAAAGTGCAGACCGGGAAATCTCTAGCCTAGGACGGTGGGGATTGAGGGCGGCTAGGGAACTCCGCGAAACAGACAGTTTTGCTCCGCAGAGAGGCGGTGGGGTGCAGACTCACTAATACCAACTCACCTAGCATTCTCACCCACTGTGCATGCGGTGCTCTTCCGTGTTCCAAGAGAGCCTGGGGCAGATCTTAGCGCTCCGCACCGCTGCCTGAGTGAGGGACTGGAGAAAGCACGTTAAGCTTTGGGCTTCTGTCCCGGTTCTTGACGTTGACCACTAGGGAAGTGACCTTGAGTGAGTCATTCAACCTCTCTACGAGTTGGTTTCCACCTACAACGATGCCCAAATGGTGCGCAGACAAGCTTTCTTTTGTGAACGCGTCCTGCTTGTGAACGCGTTCTCCTGGCCCTCTGTGCTGACCTTAGTATCCGGATCCTAATGGGTCCTCAACCAGGTGATTCGCAGCTCCATCTCCACTCCAGGGTTACCACCTGGTACTTCTAGGTCGTGTTGAACAGCTTCCGCCTGTGTTTATAATGCTAACTACGTTTATCCTTGCTGTAAATAACCGCAAGAGCCACAATAATTATGCTTATCGTGTATTTAGTAAACACTTTTGGGGTGCATTCCCTGTGCCAAGCACTGTGCTAGGTGCTACAGCTTCTCCAGCCGTGCAGCAAACCCAGCCCTACTCTCAAGAAACCGAAGGTGCCTTTTTCCTCTAAAGGAATCGTTAATCTCCTGTTGCCATTTCGAGGGCCCTCCCTCATTGTGATTACTTAAAAACTTAATAAAACTCCTGAAGTGCTATTTGTCCCGACATAATCTCAACAGCAGGAACAGAATTTTCCCTTCTGGTCCCCTAGACACTTAATTAAGCTTCCTTCAAATCCTAAGTATCAGAAAACCAACTTCTTCCTTTCTAACTCCCAAAATTAAGTCCCTACCACACCCACAAGCATTGTATTGACTGCCTGCTGTGAAATTTGTAAATAGAGGTGCTCCTGTGCACAGAGCATCAAGATGAAGAGGTACTCGTGGGCTTCTAAATGTACCAACCCCTGACCTAGCTAGGCAGCACGTTCTAACCCTCTGGGCTACTCCTTAAATGATTTCCTGGTGACAAGGCATCCACATTCTCATCTAATGATTTAATTATGTGGAGAGTAAAGGTTGCTTTACTTTCTTTTTTTCCTCTATTGTGCAAACACTCACAAGGATCCCAATAAATACTGCATGAAAAAAAACGAATGGATGAAGGAATGCAGTAACATCTAGCCTATATAGAACTAATTGTATACCAGCCACTGTTCTCATTTTGCTTTTTTGTTGTTGTTCTGTAATTAAGTCTTACAGCGATTTATGAGTTAGGTACCTTTGATTATATCTCATTATACAGCAAAAAAAAAAAAAAAAAAAACCAAACGATGAGATGAATTTCCCAAGGTCATGTAGTTAGTTATTGGTAAGTGGGTGAATGAATGAATGAATGAATGCCTCTGGAGTTAGTTCAGGTCTCCTCTGCTGGGTTGGGATCAGGCCCGCTTTTTCCTGCACACTCCCCTCTCTTCTCCACCTGCTGGTCTCCTCGAATAAATCCCCCAACCCAGAGAGTCATTGAGGATCTCCAGAGAGGCAAGTTCCGAGCACAGGTCAGGTGATGCTGCCACAGCCATCCTCTTTCTGGTTCCTTGTCTGTTGCATGGGGTGTACTGTGCTAGAGAGTGAGGCCTACTATCTGCTGCGGCTAGAGGAAGAGAGAAGGAGCCAGCACAGGGGCTGCCAGGCAGGTGCGATTGGGCCTCGAGTTCCACATCCTTCCCAGAATCCCAAGTGTCAGCAATGACCAACAGAAGTGGAAAAGCACCATGGGTGTTGCCTCCTTCCATGAGCACAGTGTGGCTGGGATCACACACATTATTAGCAAAGCTAACCCTGCTATTAGGGCAGCCCAGAGTGGAGGGCAGGGTATCAACCTGAAAGAGTCCCAGACCTGCGACTCCCAGAGGGACATCCCTCATGAACGACCAAGGGGAAGAGGAGGAGCTAACGGGAGCCCAACATCTCAGGCAGTGGATGAACCTCATGATCTTTTTAAAAACCCACTGGGCTTAGATAATCTGGATCAGAATCCAGTTGGTCAGGTGTGTCTGGCACCAGTTTTCCCATTCCTGTGTGCTGCAGGCACCCACTCTCCAGGGCACTTAGAGTAAGTGTCCTCACATCTCTTAGCCTCCATTACTTCACCCCTAAAATGAGGGAGTTGGGAGTAATCGCAGCTGCAGGGACATCTTGTCCTGATTTCTAAAATGACAGGGAGCAGTGACAGGGAATGGATTAAAAGGCCAGGGTTTCTCTGAGCTCGCCTGTCCACAGGTCCCAGGGACCCTGGCAGAGCCTGCTGCCCTGTTAGAACCCGAGTTGAAGGGAATCTTAAAAGTGCACCCCACCTTATGTAAGCAGGCTGGATTCCCCAAGAGTGGCTGTGGCAGGGAGTAGGTGCTGTGGGCTGTAATATCACAGTGTGTGAAGAGAAGTTTTAGAGAAAGCCAACGAGTTTGTCTTTGGGACACCAGCCAATCTCATCATGACCTCAAAAATGGAGGCTGTGAGCTAGATGAGTGCATGAGTTAAATCAAAATTTTGGGTTTTTAAAAATCTTCCCTAGCCCAACACCTGCAGTTAAAGTCCTCCTTAAAACTTGCATCTTCACAAAGAGGTTGGAATGTGCAATCAATCCTTTCAACCCTCCAGAGACTAAAGAAGGGGGAATGTGATGTCCCTGGTGTTTAGGGTCCTCTTGGTCATTTTTAAAGCAGTGTCACTACTACACGTGGCAGGGGAGCTGAGCTTGCCTACTCTTTCTTCTTAAGGGAGGAGGAAGCTGGAGAGGGGACTAGGATGCCCGTAAACGATGGGAGAGTGCATCAACCTCAGCCTCTGACTTCTCTCTCCCCCTCACTCCCTCCTTTTCTTGCTCCATCCGGCCCACTGAGAGTCTTAGGTAGGTATGGGCTTGGGGAGAGGAGGGTTCGGATCTGTGGAAACAGATTAAAGCTCAACCCGTTAAAGCCCAACAGATTAAATTTCAAGCCAAGGTGCCCGCAGAAAATCCACTGCTGCAAGCCCGGGTTCCTACCACACTCCTCTCCCGATGGGAAGCTTTCATTGGCGGTTGCCCTCCCAGAAGAGAGAACTCAGGTTTCACTCTCCTGTTTCCTCAGCCTCTGGTACCTGGAAAAGAAAGCCTGGAAACTCCTACTGCGCCTACTCTGTGCTGGCCACAGCCTACTTCAACCCCTGCCAACATCAAACTCCAGGCCCTGGGTACAAAGGGCAGCCAGAGAAAAGATCCCAGAATGACTGGACTTCCTTTATGATTGCCTCTGAAGGGCAAAGGCTGTCAAAGATGGCAAGCAGAGTCTGACCCGCCTGCAATCCACAGGACTCTGCACGGAGT